TATTTTTGACTAATGATTTGTCAAACTCAGTTAGTTCATCAGCCACAGTGCAGAAATTAGCACATACTTACATCAGTTTGCAACACAACATGCACCAACCAAATCACTCTTGATGGAGATGCCTTGGAGGACGTTAACACCTTTACATATCTTGGCAGCATCATCGACAATCAAGGTGGATCCGATGCAGATGTGAGGGCACGGATTGGCAAAGCGAGTTCTGCGTTTCTACAATTGAAAAATATCTGGAACTCCAAACAACTTTCAACCAAAACCAAAATCAGGATTTTCAATACAAATGTGAAGACAGTTCTACTGTATGGAGCGGAAACTTGGAGAACTACCAAAGCCATCATCCAGAAGATACAAGTGTTTATTAACAGTTGTCTACGCAAAATACTTCGTATTCGTTGGCCAGACACCATCAGCAACAACCTATTGTTGGAGAGAACAAACCAGATTCCTTCAGTGGAGGAGGAAATCAGGAAGAAGCGGTGGAAGTGGATTGGACACACACTACGAAAAGCATCTAACTGCGTCACGAGACAAGCCCTCACATGGAACCCTCAAGGCAAAAGGAAAAGAGGAAGGCCAAAGAATACATTACGCCGAGAAATCAAGAAAGATATGAGAAGAATGAACGAAAATTGGACAGAACTAGAAAGGGAAGCCCAGGACAGAGTTGGTTGGAGGGAACTTGTGGGGGGCCTATGCTCGATTGGGGGTAACAGGCGTAAGTACGTGCATCAGTTCAACTTACCATATTAGCGCAGAGAGATGGAATTGTCAGTTCAAATCCCACAGTATGGTGGTAAAGGTTTTTTTTACCAGTGTTAACGATAATCGAAAAGATCAAAGATTGAAGACATGATTCTTTTGTCAAACAATTCACCTATGAAAAATTATTTAAAAAATATTTATAAAATTCATATTGGGATTTCTTATGTCTGGATCGAGCCTATTTTCTGTTCAGTTTGGATTGTGTGTACAACTATGTTGAGCCATACGGTTTGTCCCAGCCCTCGGATAAAGTTTTTCTTCCGGTGCTATTTATTATTCACTCGATTTTTGACGTTGTCAATCATTTGCTTATATCTTGGTCGTTTTCATTCGTGTGTGTGTTATGCTCGTAGAATGATATTGTTATAATGCTGCTACGTAGCTATTCAAATCCTACCGACCTTCGAATTCAAATATTCCAATACGACCCAAAAAATACTATTTCCAAATCTCCTATATATCAGAACGCAACACCGTAGGATGGAGTTGTTGATTGGGTCGAGTACAGAAGACAGGTATGCAGGAAGAAACGGAATCGGAATTATGAAGTCTTACAGATGGTGCGTATTTATACATTTAGGTCGAATAGGAAAGAGCATCAAAGTCTGTGACATTGACAGTTTAAGACGACCGATAGGAAAGAACCTTTGAAATGACATTGACAGTCCGAAAGACCAATAAGAGACAACATTGAAGTATTTGACTTTGACAGTTAAAACGACCATAATTTTGATCAATAGGATTATACTTCCAAAAATAGTACTCTTAGGATATTTGGTGAATATCCCAACAGATATGCTTGAAACTATTACTAGTTTACTGTAGTCGGTAAACGAGAGTGAAGACTTATGATTCAGTGACATGATAAGCTACTCTAATCCGAGCATCCCAAGGCCCCACTAAGTTACATGCATATCAGAAACATATGAGTTTCTATCTTATATATCTCATGATATACATAAAGGAATACCTACCCACGAGGACAGTTACACGTTACATGCACACTAGCAACACAAGTTTTTATCCATACATCCCTTAGTATTCAGAGGTATAGTTGCTATATGGCAGGGCAGATGGTTGCCAGTCTCCTGAACATATCTGCTACCATAGACTGCTTCCCATGCGTTACATGCATATTACTAGTACGTAAGCTGTCGCTGAGGCACTTCACAACACACATCTAATCATAAGCACTCTACTAGTTTTTTATAGAGCATACTTTCCAACTAACGTTCGTTTTTGCGAGCCTATAGGCTCACCTTTTTGCATATAACTATGTACATAAATTAGACAGACCAGAGCATACACAACTTGTATACGCAAACATACGTATCAGGCAATTTTCCAATGGTTTTAAGTCTTCGAACCTCGAAGACTCTCAAAATCAGTTATGGCATTGGAATGGGTAATTAGTCCAATCTTCATCAACCATTCAATTTAACTAACAGAGTTGCTCCCGTTACCCAACTCAATCAACAGCAACGTAGAGCTTGGTACTTACGTACATCAGTTCATGTTGCCATACCACATTAGCATAGAGATGTAATCGTCAATTCAAATCCTATAGTAGTAGAGGTAGTAAAAGTATTAGCAGTAATGGGAGAGACTAGGGTTTGAAGATATTATTCAAGAAGTATAATTCAGTGAGGTAACTTTAGAAAGAGAAAGAGGTGATGAGGAACTCTGAGGTTAGGATTTGAGAGAACACAAAGAATGAATGCAGCTGCGCCATTGCAAACGGTTTTGAGTCATGTCACTCAAGGTCTCTTAACCATCGATTTCTATCACCTCGCGGGCCCCTTTACCAGGTAGTCGACACTCACCAACATGATTCACTCCACTTGTTAATGACTCTATGGATTTGTGCCATATTTTGGTCTGACCGCCATAACTACACCACAAAGAGACTTTAGATTAGATTTTTGCAGCCAAACTGAAATTAATTGGCATGTAAATTAAACGACTGAAAATTGGCTGACCTAATATTTTTTTTAAAAAAAATGTGTTTTTTTTTCTTCATCAATTTAATTTATCATTAAAATAAATATTTATATAAATACAAAATGTAAAGATAGATTTATTTATTTGATTTTTTTTTCTAAAACATAACTGCTGCTGTATTATGTAATATAGAACAATTTTTGGCTGGTAAAATTCAGTTCACAATAATAATAATAATAATAATAATAATAATAATTATAATTATTATTATTATGATTTTTAAGTAACAATAATGTGACTTGGTTAGAAAAAAACAATTATGTATGTATGTATGTATAAACTTGCAATCAACAATATTCTCTTATATTGATTTGTTTGTTCATTCAATAATGTTAATCGAAATACTCTAAGGTCAATCATTAAAAAATATTATATGTATGTATGTATGTAATGTGAGTAACTCATATTCGAATTGAAGCATAGAAATAACTGTAGAATTATACAGATGGTTGTGTTTACATTGAAATCATGAGAATGAATCATTGGGGGAGAGTACCATTGGAAAACCCGGAAGCATTGGACGGCATGGAACTAACTCGTCAACAGTACGCGTCCAGTGATTTCAATTTAAAACATAAAGAATGAATGCACCTGAGCCACTGCAAACGGTTGGCACACGAGACCCAAATAGGTCATAATCAAATACTTGCTACACCTTTCTTATCTGTTCTTGGGATCGGCAGTAGCCCCAGTTAGAGTTAACTGCACGCTAGATTGACTACTATCGAGCATGGCACGATTACTGTGATTAGTAACAGACAGATACAACGCAGAACTTCGTACATAAGTACATCAGTTCAGGTTGCCATGCCCCATCAGCATAGAGACGCAACTGTCAGTTCGAATTCAAGAGTGATAGCAATAATAGAAGTGTTAGCAGTAATGGATGAGATTAGAGAGCGAAGATATGATTCGAAAAGTATAATTCAGTGAGATAAATTTAGAAGGAAAAAGGTAGAGATTATGAGGAATGCAGAAGCTTAGAATTTCATAGAACACTAAGAGTGGATGCACCTGCGCCATTGTAAACGATTCTGAGCCATGTCGTTCAAGGTCTCTAACCATCGGTGACTTTCATCTCGCGGACCCCAATCAGGTAGCCTATATCTACCAACATGACTCAGTCCACCTGTCAGTGACTTCATGTATTTTTCTGCCACGTTTTGGTCTGGCCGCACCTAGCTTTCTTCCAATCTACTCCTACACCACAAAACATAGATCGTCGAGGCAGTCGGTAGTTGTGATTAGTAACATTTCACACTGTACTGAAAATCAGAACATACAGTTCAGAGTTGGTCTAACAAAGAAACGCTCATATCCGTCGTATTTAAGTCCATTTTATTTGTCCGCTATATACAGTCGTATACATGAGTATTTCCGTCATGCCTTAGTACAGTCTCACCACAAATAAGATCCCTAAAATGACTTAAACCACGCTAGGCTTCACGATCAAAAAAGGCAATACGAATCAGTGTATTTCATCTCCGCAATCATTATTCCGTTCCTCCAGCCATCCTACCAATACATATTCAAAGATAACCACACGATACATCTGGTTATAATACCATCAACTACGTGTACTGACTTCGCATTTTAATAATTATTATCAATTGCAGTACAACAATCAATGTTATCATTTTACGGCTCAATTGTTCTTATCCAACGTACAAAAACTCAACGCTGTGTAAACACAAAATTAATAATCATTAATCAACGCTTAACTCTAATATGGCATATTAAACTACTTACGTTTGCGATTTATTCCGTTGTCATACCCATAAACAATGAACGACTAATTATACGATATTTTCAATTAGAGTTATGGAGATTAGTGTTTTTAAACATTGAAATTATCAGTTAATCTATTGTTAGACCATCATTAGAAACCTGGAAGCATTGGACGGCCGTCTCGTCATGGTATGGGACTCTCATCAGTAGTGCGAAATTCCGCAAATATCTTGCAGCAACTGTGTTCATTGATGTGTGTGCGTGTGTGTGTTTAAAAAACCTGATGAAAAAGAAAAATTCCAAACCTCACCATTTCAGATTACCGTTCTCCTCCTACTACTACTACTTTCCGAAAATATGATACAGCAAAACCAAGATGACTACTTGATGATTTAAGGCAGAACACAGATACACACACACACACACGAAAAAAAGTCAAATTTTCACAAAAACGAAATCAGTAAACTACGCATTATTTTATTGTTTTCAAAAAAAAGGCGATGTGATCTGGGGAAATACAATAGTTTTCATTTTTTTTCTTCTTCTTTGAAAAGAGCAAAGATAAACCAACATACAATTTAATTTGAACAACACGTTTTAATTCAGATTTTTTTTTTCTAGAAAAAAAAATCGAACTAGCATGTTTAGGATTTGTAAATGAAAATAGGGGTATTTTAAAATAATAATAATAATAATGATAAAAACCGAAAGAAAGAAACAGAAAAAAAAACATTTTGATACCGAAGAAAAACAAAAATAGGTTTTCTTTTCTCAAAAACACGTGTCATTGTCAATCAACAACTGTCATCATCATTATTATCATCTCATACACACACACATTGTAGTCAGTAATAACAAAAGGAAAAGTATAGAGGAACGCGAATATATATATATATATATATATATATATATATATATATGCATATATGTGCAATGGAATATTGGTTCGAAGGAGCGTAAGACGCATTCTCCTTCTGACAAAAGAGTGAGGAAGGAAGGAAGAAAGGAGACAAACAGAGTTCGGAATTGAGGAGAGAAACACAAACAAAGCATAAAAACAAGAGCATTACACACATGTGTACATTATCTGATAAAGGGAGAGAACTGGGGGTGAGGGGCGGGGGCGGTTGGAAACAAAATCATAATAAGTTTAGCAAAAACACTTTAGAAATAAAAGTAGCACAATGGGCCGCGTTGTGTATTATTTCTTTTTTTTTTCCAGTTGTTAGATAATAAAAATGTTGAACACATTTTTGCATTTTGCATTTTCATCATCAAACTAAATCATTATATCATCCTATACAAAAAGCATTGGAAAGGTTTAGAGATTTGTTTTTAATATCAGAGTTTAAAAACATAAGCGCGCACACACACGCACACACACACACATCTACTTATCCAGTTTGTCCATTAGGTGAACCAAAATCAAAGCTGCTAGGAATAGTCGGTGAGAAAGTGTATCCGCCAGCTTGTTCAATAATTTTAGACTCTGAAATAGGAAGAATTTTTTACAGAAACTGTTTGTTACACAATTGATTTGAGCAATGGTTAGAAAGAAAATAAAGTACACGAGTGTGCATAATTGAATGATTACGACCTAAATTGCAATTATTTTGTTTTAATGGTGACAATCACAAAGGAATCAGTTCAACTAATATAGTATCTAAAATATTGGCCTCCATAATACTCTGATGCCTAACTAGAGTTTGTGAAGAGCAGACTCGAAAAAACCAGGTTGGTTTTCGACCTGGATGTGGATGAATAGACCAAATATTGACACTACGTCAGGTCCTAGAACAAATACACACGTTCAGACGCCCCGACAGGAAGTAAAGGAAGCAACAGCAGGAATGGAAGAAGGCTGGAGCGTTGGAAGTCAGGACTCAAAGATGGTGTGCAAATGGAGTGTTCAATGTAATGTTATCGTTTTTAATTGACTAAGAGTGTAAATTTGCCAAATACAATCTATTGAGCCTGCCTCAGTCTTCTCAGTAGTATTTCTAGACCTTATAGGCGGCATTTGACTCTGTCGATCGTGAGGTTCTGTGGCAGTGTCTGGTTAACCTTATACAAGCTCTCTACTCGAACACAATGGATCGAGTTAGAGCTTATGGTGAACTGTCATCGGGATTCCATACTTCAAGTGGTGTTCATCAACGTTGTTGACTCTCCATTCTTATTCGACTTTGTCATATACATGCTTTTGGAGATAACATTATCCTCGTCTGAATTTTCAGAAATGGACCTACCAGGACACTTGCTTGTTGACTTAAAGTATGCTGATGACAGTTTTGTTTGGTGAATACGTTGAAAAAATGCAGAGTCTTCTGGCTACTCTAAGCAACAATGCAAGCATGTTCAGGATGCGATTCTCACCCTCGAAATGCAAAATGTTGCTTCAAGATTGGTTTGCGTCGGCATTGTGAACAAGCACAAACTTGAAATATACCCTAATGTATAACAGTTGTTTTAAATAAGATAAACACCAAAATTATTTCCTTGAACACGTGATATATATATATATACATGTATCAAAATTCACCTTTTTGTTGGATACATTTCACAGCCGTGTTCACTACTCCTTTGAGATCATTTTGTTGTTCTTCAGAAAGATGATTAATCAACTGACTATACCATGCATAATCAGAACTTTCCAATTCAGTCATTACACGATAAAATGTCACATATTCATCCATATCACATTCTGACTTATCCATTTGTGTATCGAACGCTTCCAGTGTCTCTTCTTCATCATCATCATCATCGTCGTCATCATCATCATCATCACCATCTGAATTTTCCTAAAAATAGAAACCATGTTTATTAAATTCTACAACTCGACTACTGTGCACATACATACAACACGTATAAATAAGAAAGACACCAACATGTTAGTGGCCAGGTAGGATGTGATTAACTTTAGAAAACTGAACTAGTAAATGAATATTACAAATTTCGAAATACGTTGTAAATGGATGCTGTTTTTTCTACAACGGTTAATGCAACCTAAATGAAATAGTTTAAAAGAACATAGAATTCGCCAATGAATTGCTGTCGTTAACCACTGATCACGTTAATTGATGGAAGAAACGTGTCTGAATGAAGCATATGTGACAATAGATTACAACTCCTGGGAAAAAATCCCTTGTTTCATTGAACGATTGGTGTTGGTAAGAAAATGTAGACTTTCAAAACATCAAAGGATTTTAGAAAAACAGGATGAGAAAAACTAAAAACCGTTGATATTTGAAAACAATTACATACACTAAACGTAAATGATCATGTTAGGATATTCACCAAATATCCTAAGAATACTATTTTTAGAAGTGCAATCTTATTGGTCGATTTCTATTGGCCGAAATTATGACCGTTCTTACCGTCAGGGTCAAATATTTCAATGTTACCTCTTATTGGTCATCTGGACGGTCAATGTCATTCAAACGTTCTTTTCTATTGGTCGTCCTAAATTGTCAATGTCACAGACGTTGATGTTTTTCCTTATTCGACCTTAGTGTATAAATACGCGCTATCTGGAAGACTTATTAATTCCGTTTCCCCTTTCTACCTCTTCGTCTGTATTAGACCCAATAAACAACTTCCTTCCACGGTGTTACGTTCTGATATCTAGAGGATTTGGAAATAGCATTTTGGGTCGTATTGGGATATTTGAATTGGACGCCGTTAGGACTGAAGAGCTATACGTAGCACCGTTACAACAGATCATATACATACATCCTTGCTGTTCAAATTTATTAGATCACAGTATTGTCACTTCCTAATTTTATTTTGATTCCGAAAGATTCAGATGTAGTTAAATGTTTTGGATATAATAGACTATGCCGATTAAAAATCTTGGTTTACATCAAGAAGTTACAACCGCCGACTTTCAAGTACAAAATCTTTGGTTCAATCACACACTCCATCAACTCTGGTTAGGACAACCCTGACACATATATAATGTGACCTATACCTAAAATAAATTCAAAAAACCTGTTATACAATATATTTTTGTGCAATAAGCAACACAAACTAAAAGATGACTAACTAGTATAAAAAGGGAGACAGCAAGAGAACAACAATAAATAAAGAGATATTGCGACATAATAAAACTTACAGTTGCCTCCAACATTTCCAAATAACGAACACTTTCTTCGTCTACTTCATCTTCATCGCTTCCCAGAGCTTTCCCTTCTAAATCTTCTTCTGTTTCAGAGTCTTCTTCATCTGAATCTAGAAACGGAGAAGATATAGAAATATCAATTATATTTCAGCAATTAAGCACACACCTAATTATTTTGAAAAGTATAGGATAAGGATTTTTTGAAACTGTAGTGATTTACTTACTTTGCCTAGAATCCCTGGAGGATTACTTTCAGTTTCAAACTCAGTAGTGTTAGGGGAAATAGTTAGAAACCTCACTCCGAGAAACAAAACCCTGTTACAAGAACGTCAACCAAAGTGCAAGATTCACACTACCTTCGACGATATTTATATAGAAGTGTTATGATGCCTAAAAGTAAATGCTATGAGTCTCCAGAAGTTACGGGTCCAATTTAAATCCCCACAGATGATAACTTCAGTTACTTTCAATAGACCGATGGAAAGCTGTTTTATCTCAGTATGAAACACCAACAGTATGTATCCACGATTAAACTGGGAAGTGAGCTCACGAATTGTGAATAAAGTACGTTATAAACCATGAAAATGTAACAAGCTCCAAAATTTCTTCCTACACTAAGGTTTACTAGTTACGAACTTCGAGATCCAATCTCAGTAATTCAAGTGAGCTGTAAGTAATTAATTTCAATCATGTCGGGTGTGAAACAGTCATCTGAAATAGGGATCGATGGCAATTGGAGATTTACACACCATCAGAAAGTCTACCCTCGGTGATGGGATGGCTGATACTCATCGCATGAGTTTCATACTAGGAAGTACCTGGTTTGGGTCCGCGAGATAATAATCAATAGTTAGAGACCTTGAATGACATGGCTCAAAATCATTCGCAATGGCGCCGGTGCACTTATGCTTTGTGTTCTCTCAAATCCTAACCTTCTGGGTTCTTCAACAACTATAGTTTTGACTTTCTAAACTTTTCTCATTTAATCATACTTCTTGAATAACATCTTCTAATCCTAATCTCTCTGATTACTCCTAATACCTTTACTACCTCTTCTACTATTGGATTTGAATTGACGATTACTTCTCTGTGCTGATGTGGTATGGCGACATGAACTGATGTACTTACGTACGAAGTTCTACGTTGCATCTGACTGACTGACATACTAGGAAGAGACAGTTGTCCGATACCTTCTGTTTTTCAATGGTGATCTAGGATCAGTCCACAATGTAAACGATGAAAATATAACAATCTTCAAATAGCGCTTTTATTAATTGGTTACAAAAAAAAATAACATCAAATGAATAAAGATGAAATTGTGAAAAGTAGCCTTACCATCTTCGTTTTGACTAGAAGCTTTTGCTGCGTACGCTTTTTTCAGTCCAGAAAATAGTAGCAGAAGTGATGGAATATACTTTTCACTGAGTGTTACAATTGCATCTGTTCGTTTATCAGCAGGGAGAGAAATAATCAAACAAAGTCCTAGGACACAAAGACGACGATCATGCAATCTGAAAAAAAATGAGAAACCATTTTCAATCGGTTTAATTGAATAAATACGTAATTAACCAGCGAATTTCATAGGTTTTTACACAGAAATCATTAATCGATCATTCTTAGACAACCATTAGAAACCTGGAAGCACAGAATGGCCGTTTCATCCTAGTATGGGGCTCACCAGCAGTGCGCATACACGACTCCGGCTGTTCGCAGAATTCGAACCCCAGGACCGTCGGTCTTGCGTGCGAATGCCTAACCTCTCGACCACTCGGCCGACATCCAACGGCTGAACCCAATCACTATTTGTGTAAGTTGGAAAATCCAGCGAAAAAAATACTGATGAATCTGTGTTGCTTGTCAGTTTAAAATCATTATGTTGGAATTTCGACGCATATTATTACGAATATATTGGAATTTTTTCGTGAATTTTTCAGTGACTGTTCTTTCAAAAACTAGTGACTTTTAAGTAGTATATAATAATCGTGTTATGAAAGCAACAGATTATACTATCAGTCATATTTATGATGTTTACGACAAACAACAGCACATAATGAGAAGGGTTACTTTATCCAACAATACAGTTTTTTTCAAATTACTAAAAAGATCCGTTTAGAGTGTGAATAAAAAGGAATTCCTAAATTAGATTAGCAACGCCAAAGTCTGGCTATTCAATAAAAAGTATCTGTGAACACAAAAATCAATTATCGAAAAAAGTTTTTTCGAATAGAGAAATTCTCAAATTAATATTACACAATGCGGTGATGTGTTTTATAGCTGACTTAAATAAAGATAACTTATTCCAGTAAAACTATTTGAGTTTTTCTAGTTCATTTCATTGAACATTATTTATCAACTAAGAACGGATTTGTGTACTTAGCTTTGTTCGATATTCGTGTTTGTGAATGGTGGTAAAAGTAAAAACCGGCTCAATGAATCAGAGTGGATATGATGAAATCGGAATATCCGATTTACTTGTTTAGGTACATGAATCACTAAGCTATTGATCCAAATCCGAGTGAAGACTACACAGTGGGTAGACTATAAACATTTTGAGGCATTTATGAAGAAAATATTTAAGGCTAAACAGTATATGGAAAGTCTAGCTACTGTCGCTAGTGAATGTAATCTTGGACCAGCTAACAGATAGTAACATAGGAGAGAGTTTGAACGCTAGCTTTTCTGTACAAGGAAACCCACACTGTGATATAGTTTCACTACTAATCAAAAAGTCCTAAAATGGTTTAGCAGTGGTAGTTAATTAGACGAAACCTTCAACTTCCGCAGTCACTAAGTCACAGATCTGAACACTCCTCTATTTATTGTAGTTTGGGCTATAGGGTTATTACGTATCACTATATGCTTCACATTCAATGTGAAGCATAGCTGTTAGGATATTAATCCAATATCCTGAGAGAATTATTGGTCAATTCCTATTGGTTAATTTCTACTGGTCAATTTTTTGGTCATCCTAGATATCAATGTCATGCACTCCCATGTTGTTTCTTATTGGTCGTCCTGACTATCAATGTCACTTCAAATGTCGTTTCCTATTGGTCAACCTAACTGTCAATGTCACAGACTTCGATGCTGTTTCATATTCGACCAAAATGTATAAATAAGCATTATTTGTAACGTTTTATGACCAGGACCCGGTCCCGGATCCCTAGTCCGGGATCCTGATTCTCTTTTGGAATTGGACCTCGTACTTTCTGGATGCTTGTAGAATACAGGTTCTATATCATATCAAGTCTTCTTATTTTTACTCAATATGGGGGTTGGGATAATCGGATTTGAGTAGGATGTCGTATTACTGGATCCTCGATCCTCGCTCTCGTTTTCCGACTAGGTAAACTCCTAGTAGTTCAAGCATACCAAAATGACGTGTTTACGTACAGGCGTAACAATAGCTAAGAAGTATACTAATGTGTACCTGGGTAAGTGAGCTGAATAATTAAATCCCAGACAATGAACAAAGTTCTTTCAGTTACTTTTAGGGTGAACCAAGGAAAGGATTTAACTACTCTCAAAACATTCAAGGTTATATACAAATGTTGTGTATAATTCACCTATAATACTGTATTTCGCCAAAGTTTTTGGAAAGTATCATTTCAATCAGAATTCTCTCTATATTTCTGAAGTTTCTATCGACAATACGAAAACCTGATTGTTTTTAGTCCAAATAAACGCATCTACACATAATATTCAACAACTAAACTCAGAAATCACTTACCCAAGGAAACAGTCTGCATCTTGAATCCATCGTTTAAGGAACTCGGATAAAATGTTAACCTCTGTCCCAGGCCACGGATGCTCAACCATCATATGAAGCATATCCATAGGTGAGTAAAGTAGTCCAGCAATTACCACCTAATCGTTATGAAAACAAACAATTAGTTGTGTCACAGACATGTTATTTCAATGAGGTGCAATGAATACTGGAACAAATTCTTCTCCAGCCTATATGACGACAGTAATTAGTGCGTTTGTTTATGTAAACATCGAAACAAATTGTTGATGTTCTATAACTAACAGAAGTCAAGAAATGTGCCGAATTATGGCTAGATAGCTATTTATCATATTGTAACGCTTGCTTGAATAATTTCCAGCTAAGTCCTATTGCTTAGTATTCTCTGACCACACAATACACTGGACAAGTTCCAAAGAATCAAAAACACGGTGGAACAGGAAAAGATTATATTCCAAATAGCAAGCTAAAATCGAAATAAGAAGCCAAAGGTGATGGCGAAGGCGAAGACCAAAAATATAGAAACAACGTCAGTTTCTTTATAGCATTTACATGAGAAGCTTCTGGATAGAAATTCACGTGATCGACTGGATTAGATTTAGCCAATTAGCGCGCAGCTAACGCAGTCATACTTTAATTCCATTTATGTCCCACTAACATATCATAAGTCACTTTGAAAAATAACACTATAAATGAAGATGTGTTTTTTTGCAGCTAATGCTCTGTATGTTGCACTATTTTATAGTTACTGATTTACAGATTAACACACACGGAGTAACGGACAAAAATTTTTCTAAATAAAATACCTATGCTTGGAGAGCGCTGATAATTTACAATGTTAAAATGCCAAGTCTAGGGAGCGCATTCTGATTGTTTGATAAACGCGCAAAGTAATAATTAGCAAATATGTACATACAACTCATAATTCGTAAATAAGCTATAAATTAACTGTTGTTAGTCTGCAAAGCCTGTTGTTCATAAGGATAAAATGTAACAAGAACAATAAAAGTTAACATCATTTTAGAAAAGGCCGAAAAGACTCGGTAGCATAGTTGTTCCTAATTTTAAGAAACTAAATTATATCAAAATTGATAAACATTTGTATAGCCTACATAACTGGTTTATAGGTATGTTTTCAATCTGTAAATAGGCGTTTATGCTAAGTAACTATCTCACCGACAAATTAGAATAAGATCGAACTGCCTATTGTTTTTAACTTGCCCTTCAGAAACCATGCTGGTAGATGTTCACCCATTCGTTGGTTAAGTTGCCTGGTAGTACGCCCGATATAGCTATCTCCACAGGAGCAGCTGAATTTGTAAATGCACATAGAGGAGGCCAACTCAGGTAACTTATCCTTTGTTCGGGTAGACATCCAAAAGAAGCCATTATTCATTAAATTACAATTCAACGGAGATGTGGCCTGCGATACTCTGCAGGACAGATTAATCAGTCACATGCAACGTTGAACTTGGTACGTAAGTACATCGGTTCATGTTGCCATACCACATCAGCACAGGGATGTCATTGTCAATTCAAATCCAATAGTAGTAGGGGTAGTAAGGAAATTAGAAGTAATCGGAGAGGTTAGGATCAGAAGATACTATTCAAGAAGTATGATTAAGTGAGAAAAGTTTAGAGAGTCGAAACTAGAGGGGTTGAAGAATCCAGAAGATTAGCATTTGAGAGAACACAAAGCATAAATGCACCGGCGCCATTGCGAACGATTTTGAGCCATGTCATTCAAGGTCTCTAACCATCGATTATTATCATCTCGCGGGCAATAGTTTTGTGTGGATATCAGAGGAAAAATTAATTACCTGTATGCAAAGTGTTCTAAGTTCACTTGAAACAAGCGGGCGTGTAAGACGTGTAAGCGCCATTTCAACATATTTAGGTACATATGGATTTACTTGACCTCGATAATCAAGTAAAATCACTTCAAGTAATTTGGCAGCATGCATTTGTAATCTTTCTTGATCATCCATTGCGAAAACCTGTGGAGATAAATATTAGGTGAAGTAAAATGTAATAAGGAATAAACTAAACAACTTTATATGAACTAACGTTAGAGTCTACGGTGATCACAATAAAACCATACTATAACATTCATAATTTATTAACTTGAGAAACAAAAAACCTACATGGGGCCTACCTAATTCACTAGGTAGTACATATTCACGTATTTGGTTTTGGGCCGCACTCTAAAGGCGATGTTACTGATTGGTTGTCTAAACCGACATAGATAGAGGAAGGTTTGAACCTGGCAACTTAGTGGCTGAAAGTTACAGGCCGTAACTAATGAGTCACTTCTCTGACCTGAACAAGGATCTAGTCTGATATCCTTCAGTTTCGCAAGAAATAATTAGCAATTAAGATTATTGGATTAAAATTAAATTAAATTTTTCGCGGTATATGAATATACTCATTATGAATTAGTTAACCGGGAGATATGAAATAAAATATAACGGTTGAATTTATATATACAGACCTCAAGTTGCTGCTTTTAGTCTTACCGTTCTCCTATCGACTTTCCTGGCACGGGAGGACCTGAAGTAACATATATTCCAACCAATATAGTTAGGTGATCATGATAGGCAAGCCCGATCACCACGTCAAGAAAGCAGCTACAGTCGGGCATAAAGTAAGGTAACAAACTGCTTTGCAGTACGTGCCCCTTAATTAAGTAATAAACAAGCACATCACCTGCTCTTATATGTTTCAGGTTGGATCGATGACAGGTTTTTCACAGATACTAGTTCGATGGAACCACTGAAACTTCAGGGATAGATGAAGTGATTGATGAACTTAGGAATTTCATTCGCTGAATACTTTAATTTGTACTCTTTATGAGTGGATGAATATAGATTGTAGAAGTATAATGATGCTGATCATTTACCTGTTAATTGTTACCTAGTAGTCTAAACCAACTGGAAGAGTCGTAATAAGGAGTATTGATTTAGTTCAATTTATTACACAAACTCTGATACACTTTCACAAACCGTCAAACTTAGGAATTAACTGTAATACCTACCTCCAAACACATAGCAGTAACTTGTTCAATACGTGAAGGATTTGCCAGGAAAGCCTCACGGTCCACTGTTATGTAATTATGTAAACACGGCATCATTTCTAAACAATACAGAGAGAGAAAAGAAACTTTATGGTAGTGAGATATTTCGAAGACATATTACATAAAACAGGTTTATGATTACTTTTTTCTAAATTTGAACGAATAATTTTACAGTGTGGTTGGTGACCAAGTTAACGTACGACATTAAGGAGAACATAATACTTGTCAAAATCTCAACGATTGAGTTTAGAATAAATCTAGCGTTTCATTCGGCAGTTTGATCTGAGCGTTTTTTTAAATGGGAATAATTAAACATTAAAGGCATCGAATATAAATACAGTTTGTGCTGTGTTGAAGATCAGTTAATAAGGAACCAACTTAACGATTACCCTCATATTGAAGACATAAGCCACAATTTTATTTATATTAGTTCTACGAACTAAAGCTGGCAATTATTGCAGTCTAACAACATAGTCGGTTTGAATAAAATACAGCTTTTCGACTATTTTAAACATGACAAAACTAGTCTGCTTTACTCCACTTAACTTCGCTTTGAATCGTTAATCATAGGAAGTTTAACCTATACAACAATTCTACTTTAAAATATATATATCCCAATACGTTCTTGCGTAATCGATAAGATTCCTTTTATACCTAATTTCCTGAAGCATAACTATCGACAACAATCTTTTCCCGCTTTTGAAATTATGCAACTAGATGTTTCAGCAGTTTACTGACTCAGTCTTTCTGGTACTCAACCTGTAATCACCATTAGTCAGCCGTTAAGTACGGTGATTTCATTGGAAAATGTGACTTATAGTCTAGTATGTGAAATACCTCTGAAACATATATCTACCTAAAGCTTAAGCAGGAAATGAATGCTGAAAAGATAAGGTATTAATACACGTTTTGTCTGATGTTCCCGGATGTATAAAAATACTTACCAGAAAAACATTCACAAGCATCTTTTTTGAATACAGGATAGAGCTGATCAAAAAGTTGCCACAATAGTGGAGAAATCTTGTTAGTTGTCAGTGAGAAAATGAAAGTGAGAGCTTCGTCGAAGAATACACTCAAGTTATGATCAAATATAGACTGAATTAAACGCACAACAATCGGTTCAAGCTGTGCAACAAGATTTTCATTATCTTCACCAACTTGTAAAATGGACTCCATATTATCTAGAACACTTGTAGCAACTATAGACCGATACTCAAAGATGTCTTCTGTATCTGCAATCTCGTTTGATTCGTTAGGTGATCCATTCTTCGATATATTAACAAGCTGAAGAAATGTATCTGACTAGAGAAGAAAAAACAATAAAATTCAGTTACAAAACCTTGAACCTAGATCCCTCTCCATAAAAAAAACCTAGCTATACACATTGAACTAGTTAATAATGATATTAATCTAAACATACCAAAGTTTGCATAATCTCAGAAGCGATTGGAAGAATTTCTTTTTCAAATGTATGTATGAATATTTCGATAACATTGTTTAAATCATCAAATTCAGTTTGTCGAAGAAGCTCCAATAAACCTGAAAGTAAACGTAACTTACATAGAACTGTTTCCAAAAAAAATGATCTGCACTACTAAACTAATAGAACGAATTGAGCTACAAACTATTTCTTGATAAACAGCCATTTAGACTGCTTACAAGTTCAACGTGACCAAGCTACCCAAATGTAAGGAATGTTCGTTGTTAAGTGAATAGGAGTAATACAACCTATTCGTTTGGCTTTTTCTAGCTGAAATTTACGAAGCAGCGAGTAAAATATTTGGGACCAAAACCTTGGCACAAACGGTAAATACATAAAATTTGCTACAACTGACAAAAACCAATTGCTTCCAAGTGCACAGAGGAATATTCCCACAGTACTACTACTAATACTACATACTAATAGGGTAGTTACTTTGGGAAACTACTTTCCTGGTCAGGAAGTCACAGAAGCTTACGACTATAACATATGCGATGTTTAACATACCAAGTCATAAATATCAGCTGATAAAGGTGTCAATTAAGCTATCTTGAATTCATATAATTAAGAGCCCCTCTCAAAACAAATAACAAAACTAAATCTCACTTATTTACGACAATAAAAAAACCAAGAGCAATCAAACCTGTATATTAAAATGAAGTGGTGAAATAAGCACATAGTTCAAGATTTGAACCTTGCTACAACTAACACAGTTTGGGCAACCGGAGAGTATCATTAATTCTCACCCTCAGTGAGCCACATGCATACTATCTAGTGAATGTCAATTTAACTTGTATTACTCAATAAACAGAATGGGTAAACCAACATACTCAGGAAAATTTACTATGCAGGACACTGAAAACTATCAACCCTGTAAGTAGGAACAGTTTACATGAGACACTGACTTATGGATATTAATTAATACGTTAGAACTTACTTATTTCTATTACTTAAAAGGGTATGAACTTATGCCTAAATACCCTGGTACGTTTGAGTGGAGAGTCCGCTCTCCTCTAAACGCTTTCACATGACAACGATTATACAGCCACTGTCAGAGAAGTTCTACACTGCCCTTTAGATAGGGTGTTGTTTACGAAATAAAAACGAAAAGCGCATGTCTAGCATCTAGACCAGGATGACAGGTACGAAGGACCCACTTAAGTTAGAGAACACCCATTTCAAACCAATGAGATGCATGGACCCCAGAATTCTGGGGAACAAATGGAATATGAATCTACTAGGTCACCGGTTGCTATAGGACATCTACGGTTAACCCACTGCTCCGTGGATTGGACCTCCTAGTCAAAAACTCGGAAAATCACCTGCTTAGGTTAGGGAACCTAGACAGTTACCTAACTCAAACAAATCCATTGGTTCGTGTGGGGCGTAAATATTTAGTTGAAATAATAAACATGAATAAACGTATCAGGTTTCATAAAATTACTTACGTATCAGCAGTTCATGTAAATGAGGAGCCACAAATTGATGAGCTAAATAAAGTTGAAAGAAAGCAAGTTTTTAGTTTCATCAGAAGTCTTGTGAAATTACAGCAAACTTATAGTTAGTTTTACACCATTTCGTAGCGTCGCTTTTTGACTAGTCTCAGGTCATAATCAGTTGCCAACCTGTGATAAGTATGACCTGATGAACTTAATTTCCATATGATAAGTGAACATTGTTATCCTAACTCGAGTTATTGAAATACATACATTCAAACATACACATCCCTTAACAATAAGTTAGAAGTCTTAAGACAATGCAAACATATATACAGCCTTTATAATTAAAGTGAATACAGAGTACCACGAATTAAGAAAATCTCTAATAAACAGAACGATCACAGCTAACTTACCAGCTTCTTGACATCGAACTAATTCTGAAAGACAGAGTGCAGCAAATGCACGGACTGGTAGTTCCGAGTCAAAGCATGCAGCTTTTCTTACTTCATCAACAACTTGGGCAAAAATATTTTGGTCGTTGAATTTAGCTTCTGATAATTTTTCCAGCAATCTGTAAGCTCTAGCACGACGATATCCTTCAGGAGCATGCAAAGTTGGTAGGACATGACCAACAAGAAATGACTCTAATTGAGACTAAAAGATGAGCACATACGTGTTGTACGACATACCTTGTATGCAGGATTTTTTAATAAGATCTCAGCAATAGCTGTGTACATGTGCAAAACAGCATCCTTCTCAATAGGTGAACTTTCGGAACTCAATATATGGATACAGAACGGCATTATATTATTTAAGACACCACGTCGCTTAATACATGCTTCATTTAGAAGGGTAGATGCTGCACTTGCTGGACTAGATACCGAACCCCAGTCACCTAAAAATAAAGTGACAAGAAGGGATCTCACCAGATTCGGCTCGAATATATTCTATCGGGTCGTCTTCCCACAATTCAGCATCCTCTTCAGTGTATGACATTAACGGAAATATAACCTCACGGACCAAAAGTGAGAAGTGTGGTCGTAGTAATTTCCAGGAAAACGAATGAGCTAATCTACAAAAATAAGTTGGATTTTGTTTTACTTACGCCGATGAAAAATAGTCCAACGTTTGACTAAGAACCGGTTTAGAAACAAATGATTTCTGCCTGTATGCTTCACATATATTTAGAAGTATTGATATTATTTGCCCGGAGAAGGCTTTTAAATACCACTCAGCGAATGGCTGATACCGCTTTATGACAGCGCCCGGACTACCATAACTGAGAGAAGTTAGAAGTTAACACACATCATACCGAGTGAGAACTCTATTGAGTATTTTTAAAGCCCATTTTTTTCGTTTCCAGGTGGAACTTGAAGTGTCTGGTTGAGTTACTTTGAAATCTCCTAGTACAGTACAAAGTATATCAATCCAATGACCGAATAGCTGAATACAAGTAAGAAATATATGAGACACATACCTCTTTACTCATTGCATCTAGTGGGAAATGATAATTTATAAATGAGAAGAATATTTTGATGATTAGTGTTTGGAGTATATAGGAATCCTCAGATTCGTCAACAATGAGATTCGACAACGTTGAATACAAAATTGGAAAGAAAACTTGCATCACCGAGACCGTATTTTGGCGCTCATCATTCTTTTTGTAAGTATAAACTCCAACAAAAGCATAAAGACAAGTGAGAGCTCCTCGTAAATGATGGCGATCGTTTGATTCCAGGAAATGTTTAACTTGTTCGGGGAACTCTTGAAAACGAACAGGAAAATCATGCTCTATTATTTTAGAAAGAGCCACCTGTAGATGAGTTCTTATTTAAGAAGTTACTTCGAAAAGATGTCTTACTGCAAAGGAATTGGTGCCGAGACAACAGCTGCTACAATAGAACTTCTGATAGCTTGTTTATCTTGTTCATGTATACTAAATCTTAACTCGCCAGATTCCTCCGGTTCTTCTTGCTTCCACCACTCGGAAATGTTGTTTTTGAAATATAAAGCTGCTGCCTGTCGTACGCCAACATCAATAGTATCTTCAAGGATTATTTTTAATAGGGTAGGGACAAATCCAATGATTTTATGCATCTTGAAGGTAACAACGAGTAGTTTTACTTACCTCATTGAGTATTTTGGTTCCATTTTCCTGTTTATCAGCCAGTAAGGTATTGCTTAAAGCTTCAACCACCCTGGCAGGGTCCATGCTTTGAAAAATTCGGAAAACAACGTGACAACTATCACAAATTGCACCGCCTTACGTTCCGGTAAAATAAAACAAACATCCAGACTATGAAGATTTAAATTCTCAGAAGTTAAGAGTGGATAAAAATAGAACATTAGCTTCCATAGTTCCTGCGTTAATATTGAAACTATCAAACGTAAGACTTTCAAATTCGATTTGAGTATCTTTCCTTTGAACCAAGTCATTATGCTCTGTACTTGGAACCCACCATATTTTTATTTTTACTGGATATATTATTTCCTTTAGTTCATCAATTCTAATCTGTCCTGCAAGCCGTCTTTGAGGTCACGATGCGCAATATTTAGCACTGTTCTGAAATTATTTATCTCTTGAAAGCACTACAACCCTCATATGGTCGTCAATCACCTTTGCTCTCCTTTGGAATTACCGAACCTGTTGAAAATCAAAACTCTTACACTGTTTACCTTGCAACTCTTTCCATTCCGAACCGATATTATCGAATCCTGGGTTTTCTCGGCAGACTTCCATGAGTATTTTATAGACCACAAGAAACAGAAAACCCTGATTGGTCTTTGTACCACAACACCTATGGTAAGTACTATTCAAATTGTAAGAAATCCGTCAGTCTGCCTAACCCATAACAGCTGCAGTCTGTTTTTCAATAAAGATTCCGCTCTCCCTTGAAAGTTCTCACTGATAGAGCAGATAATACATTTTTGGAATCTCATTTCAAGTTTATTTTATCGCGGTTTTTGAATCTTCCCGCTATAGCCACGGAGATGAATGGTCCTGAAGGAAGGAAAACGACAAGGCCTGTTAAACCCTTCGTAGAAGCGTTTGAACGAATCAGTCACTAATTTTGTCCCACTGTGACAGTGTGTTTTGTAGGATATGAATCAGATGCTTGGCTGTAATTCTAACTGATTTTCACATAGGATATGAAACCTAAACGATTACCTTGTAAAAACATCTGAATGATCTTAGAGGTGATCATAAGACTAGGAAGTCTTTGGTGGCACCTGCATTACAATTTTCAGTTCTGAGTCGTTTTGTGCCTGCAAGCATGAAAAATCTGTGCTGTCCACAGTATACCGGTAACGAATTCCGTGTTCTATGTGCATTTACACACTCTTTCTAGAACAAGTTAATAAACCTCAACTATAGGATCATCTAATTAATGTATAGCTTACCTGGAGATCTAGGTGATCAAACTCACCACTTATCGTTCTCCAGATTTTGACATCTGTAAACAACAGCGAAGATAACTTGAGCATACTAGATAATTCACTGACCTAAGGAAGGAAAAGTAGACGGTCTAAGAGGGTGCCTCGCAGTTCTCCACTTTTAACTGATTTCCGTACACATTGTGTATGATTTACTTTCATCCTCTGTCTCCGATCTCAGAGGAAGTTTCCACTATTACATAACACCTGTTATTCCAAAGCTTCAGAGCTTCTGCATAAGCCCAGAGTGAGACACCTAATCAAATGCTTTGCTCAAATCTATTAATACATCGAAATGACAGACAACCTGTTAACTCCGACTCCTGTCAGTTCATTCTTTGTGATTAGGAAACTACTTAGGCATGAATTTTCAACAGACTGAATGATTCCGTTTCTTTATAATAGCCTGAATTATCTTTCAGTAACTAAATCACTACACTGTTTAAACTGTTAAGCTAGTAGTTAGACACAACCCGTCTCTTTTCATACCTAAATATGTGGCTAACAATAGCATCCTTCCAATCTCTAAGACGTAGAGTTTGGCAAGGAGACATGTCGAACACCATAGCCGGTGGTTCTGGATTAGTGCGTACGACAGATGATACTTATCGTATATGTAACCCAATATAACCCGGTGCTTTACCAAGCCTTATGTTAATGACTAACTGTTCAAAGGTACTCGTCCTTTATATGATATCTCGGTAGTATGTTTTTAGAAAGCTTTGTTAACAATCCCGTTGGAGTTAGGCTCACTGAAACAGTTCAGAAAATCTCAGCTTTGGCCCTATCTGATTCACCTAGATTATCTGACTTTTCGGAGGAAATGTATCACTAAGTTTAGCTCTTCGTTTTAATGTGCAAAAACAATCGTTTTTGCCAAGTAAGGCTGTTGTGTGCTATTTTAATTAGTCAGTCCAATAACTAGTTATGGTCATTTTACATATTTCAAATTTTTTCGCATTCACACTTTTTTAATTCGTGGTTTGTTGACAAGACCAAGCAGTGTTCCCCTACGTCGTAGCCGTTTTCGGATTTCTCTATAGATTCACAGAGGGTCATATATAATGAGCTACGGTCTTCCCACAAATGCTTCAAATACCTGACTGCTCAAAAACCGTGGATCGTAAGGTCTAACTCATCACTTGGCTATCGCGCTTGAATGCAGTTACAGCATTCTTTCATTTAACTGGATCATAAATTGACCATTCTGGTCGAATGTGAATATTAGAACAACGGATTACGTACGCATCATTTAGGAAAGTCTTTTTCCTCTTTAATTCTGAGTACTATAATATTCTTTTTGGATGTGTCTCACCTACGTCCCACTTAGTGTCTTACCATAACAGTATGTACGCCTAAAGCCTCTTCTGGCCAAACATTCGTGATATCTACTTCCACCAACTTGAGATCGCCAGCATGTCTTTCTGCTGAACCAAATCACTCTTTATGGACAGGCTTTTGAGGACGTTAACACCTTTACATATCTGGGCATCATCATCGACAATCAAGGTGGATCCGATGCAGATGTGAGGGCGCGGATCGGCAAAGCAAGGGCTGCATTTCTACAGTTGAAAAATATCTGGAACTCCAAACAACTTTCAACCAAAAACCAAAATAAGGATTTTCAATACAAATGTGAAGACAGTTATACTGTATGAGACGGAAACTTGGAAAACTACCAAAGCTATCATTCAGAAGAAACAGTTATTTATTAACAGTTGTCTACGCAAAATACTTCTGATTCGTCGGCCAGACGCCATTAGCAACAACCTACTGCGGCAGAGAACAAACGAGATATCAACTGAGGAGGAAGTCAGGAAGAAGCTCTGGAAGTAGACAGGACATATAATGTGGAAATCACCCAACTGCCTCACAAGATATTCTCCTTAGGATCAACGGAAAGGAGGTACGCCACTCAACACATTACGTCGAGAAATAAAGAAAGATATCAGGGAAACGAACAAAATTTGGACAGAACCGGAACGAGAAGCCCAGGACAGAGTTAGCTGGAGAAAACTGGTCGGCGGCCTATGCTCCATTAGGGATAACACGCGTAAGTTAGTAAGTGTGCATTCTAGATTGTCCAGCAACACTATATATCAGACGCTGGAATTTACCCTTGGCCTATTTCCTAACAAGCACCGGCTGTGAGAGTCCCGACAACTGGATTTCATCCCATAGTTTACAATATTTTCGAAACTTATATCGGTTTTTCAATCATGCATCATTGTTTTGATATTTACCGAGATGATAGCGAAATTTATTCGTTTGCACAGTTCAATATTTATTTTGTAGCAACCACACTCACTAAAAAATTAAAGATAGAATTTCTGTCTCTAGCATAAGAGAGAAAACTGTTTAGGTACACCTCAGTTATCATGACCTTCAGGGGCATTATTCTTCAGCCATCTCCTTTGGACTCTACTCATTTAAGGCTCACGGTTACCTAAGTTTACAAAAAACTGTCATTGGTACCAACATGATCGACCAGATACACTGAACAGTCTTAACCAGTTCAATGATCTGGACCATTATTTTTTTCGGTCAGTTGACCCAATTGGTTTGATCTATTTGCTTTTGAGAAGCAATCTACGTTGCGCTTCTGACAATTTAAATATGTTATGTCAAGACCAGGTCTCTGGATGACTAATTATTTTGAATGTAATGAACTTCAAGCTATCGGATCAAAAGACCTTAATACATTACTTAATCTACAAAACATCCTTGATAGGAAAAATGCGTACCTTCGTTTTATGAGTCCATATAGTGTAGGAAAAATCATACAAGTGTTTGAACCGTAATTATTTTATGACCGTTTCTTCTATCGTATTGTCATCGACCCTGCAGAATTAGGCGTCAGTTGAAAACACCTCTATGAAGGAATATTATGACCGAATTCTGAAAGTCAGGATTTCATTACAACAGAATACTTTGTTTGCTTACGGCTCCTAACGATATTGCAGGGTGTAACTAATCAATAATATTAATGTAACTTTTCCAAGTCAGCCACGTCAACGACTCATGTTTTTAATTCACTGGTTTCGCTTCCTACCAAGTAATCTTCTTACAAGCTGATCCGGACAATTATGTTGAAAAAGAGCGCTCTTTTGACTTCTTGAGCTACAGCGCAATAAGAACAATAAATGAAATATCACCAAAGCATCAGATCGTTGTGAATTCATTACTATATTCTGTAAATTAACGTAATTTCAAACAATTCAGTTCTTTTTAATCTCCTCTTTTCATAAGATTATTTGCTCATTCGTTATCTTACCAGTTACCTGAGTGGATCATTCCGAAATCCCCAAATACACTTTCCTTACTGTTCGACCGTGTTTACCGTCATTCTAACGCACTAACAGGAGGTCTAGCAGCATTGTTACAAGTGTTCACGTTTGCTTCGTCCCTACCGTTTACAGGCAAGTCTATTTGTGGGCACTTCAACATGCCTGAAATCTCTTGATTTCCAATCAAAGCACCTAAACGATTTGAGTCATTTATTGAATGCTTAGAGCTTATAGAGTAGACTCAACATGTTTACGGCCTAACAAGACATCAAAACATATTGGAGTTAGTTTTCACCAGCAATCTCATTCCTAATACTGTATATGTTGAAAATCGTTCCCAGATATCGATAGTAATGTAGTGAATTAAGACTACTGATCACGAGATAATTAAGTTAAATTCCGTTAAGGCCAAATATCAAAAGACTGGTCGTGATAGGAGAATGAGGTTTATTGACTGCTGACCTCGTGTTATCGAAAAAAATATCAGGACAAGCGATATGAAGCAGATAAATCCACCGAGGACACCGAACAGTGTTAGTAGCACATCGTGCGGTCGAATAACGAATTGTTGAAACAATTAAGTACCAT